CCACATGGCACAGTGGATAAAGGCTTTAGTTAGATCCAGTAACAGGACCCAAAGAGTGTGAGTAGCCATTACGCAATACTCGGTTAAGGCAGCGGAGAAAAATTTAAGAGGCAAATTAACAGGAAATAACTGACAATCATTAAACATGGCACGTGGAACTAGAACAGTCTACCCCAGTGAGCGAAGTAAAAGGGTTCAGTTTGACATTCCAACCAACTGAAGAAGGCCGGAGCGTACAATGGCCGGAACGTTGTAATAAATATGGCGACAAATATGATGACAATAGTCCAAATAATGTATTTTAAAAATACTTTTTACGAGTTCTCGTTTTGGTATTTATTCTTCTATCCATTCGCACAATTCTTTCAAAAAGGTTATTTGCTTTATATGACGTATGTCTTTAAGACATAAACGATCATGGTTCTCCACACCTTCTCGACTTTTTTTGCTCTAAGTGATATATGCTTCTATATAATTTCTCTTTTTCTTTATGGCACTGGTCCCTCCATCTATTTGCATGCACTTGTTAATTAGGTTCTATCTTTCGATGTGGCGTACGCTTTCAAGACATGGATGATCATGGTTATCCACAGTTTCCTGTCTTTTATTTAACAATATTACTCCATTACGAGTCCTCTTTGTTCCTCCATTCATTTGCTCAACCTTATTATGCTATTTCTCTGTTTCTGTGTCGTGAGTTCCTTTAAGACATGAACTGTCATGGTTCTCCACAGCGTCCTGTCTTTTGTTATTCTAAGTGATACGTACTTATTTATAATTCCAATTCGTCTTTGTGGCATCTTTTACTCAATCCAAACTTGCTCAAAGTTCTATCTCTTTCTTTTGTGTTTCTTCAATACATGAGCGATCATGATTCTCCACAGCTTCCTGTCTTTTTCTTCTCTCAGTAATCTTCGCTTCTTTATGTTTCTGTTTGTACTGTTTGTTCCGTCGCCTATTCAAACAATTTGTAATGTCGGTTCTCTGTCACTATGTGGTAAATGCCTTCAAGACATGTACGATCATGGTTCTCCACAGCTTCCTAGTTATTGTAGCTCTCAGCAATACTTGTTTCTTTATAGTTTCTCTTTGTCGTTGTAGCACTAGTTCCAACATTCATGCCCGTAAACTTGTCAAAGTTCCCGCTTTCCTGCTTGTTGGAAATTCTCATCTGTAGTTCCAGTCTTTAAGAACTCTGACGAATCATTTGATGCTTCTAACTATCGGCCTATTAGCCTTCTACATATTTTTTTGGCAGAATAAAATTTGCTGCTTGCTCAGGTGATTGCAGCAAAGATTCTATATCTTTCATACATTGAGAAATTAATTAAGATCATCGGAAAAGTCAAGGATTTCAGGTATTTTGACAAAATAACAGGGCCTCTAATCAACTCTGTTTAAGCATCTCACCTTGCAGGGTCTTCTTTCAGATAAGCAATATGACTTTCGCTTCTCTAGTTCAACTGCTGATATGTTATTGCTGAAAGATTCTATCAAGGGTTTGATACGAATGGTGAATGTTGCTTTGGATATCTCATTTGACAGGCTTTGGCATATTAGTCTTCTTCATAATTTGAAATGTTATTGTATTTCTGGACGAATTTTTGAACTGATTCAGTTTTTCTTATAGAACCATGATCTGAAGATTGTCTTGAATGACCACTCCTCTAGATCCTTTAACTTTAATGCAATCGTCCCCCAAGGTTCTATTCTTGAACCTACTTTGTTCCTAATTTTCATCAATGACCTTCTTGACGGAACCAGTTCTCAACTCGTTGTCTATGCTGATAACGCAATCATTTATATCTTAATAGTAAGCCTGAGCGGTTTAGTAAGATCAGATTAGCAGTTGATCTAATATAAAATCTACATTCTGTTGTTAACTGAGTTACGTAATGGCTACTTAGTTTTAACGTCTTCAAAATGAAACTGCTCTCTTTTAATCGTCTCAGAGAACACTTTTTACTTTACATTATCATGGCGGATGCTAACCTCCAAGAAAGTGACTCGTTGCGTCTACTCGGACTAGCGTTTTCCTATGACATAAAGTGGAAATTTATATTGAATCAATTGCTAGGCTTGCTACTAGGAAAGTTGTTTCACTATATTTTTTTCTCGACATAATCTATCGTACATGTTTATAAGTCTACCATTTGACATTGCTTTTAATATTGCTGCCATATCTGGTCTGGTGATCATGCTTTATATTCGTCATAAAATCCAAAGAAGAATCTGCAATATTATTGACCCTGACCTGGTATCCCAGTTTTAGTTAATTTTTCACCGCCGTAATGTAGATTTTTTCTTTCTTTTCTATAAACACTTTCATGATAATTGTTCTGATGAACTTTCCTCTGTGGTACCTCGATTTTACGAATTTAGGCGCAGTAAAGGACTTATCATTTTACAGTTGGAATGGGTAGATGTAACCGTAAGTTCTATGCTAACAATTTATCTTCTCGCACTTCTCTCTTGTGGAACTCTCTTCCGGCATATTACTTTCCAGTCAGCTTTGATCTTTAAAAATGTAAATGCAGTGTCAATCGGTATTTTCTGTATTCTTAATTCTTGTTCTTTTGTTGTTCTCTGTACTTAATAGTATTTGTTCCTCATAGTTTCTAACACTCAATAATTCCTTGTGTCTTAGCGGTGGTAATGTCTTGTTTGGAGTGACATGATTAAAAACAAGACAAAACAAAAGAAATAGATATTTTATTGCCTCAGCAAACTAAATAAAGATAATATAAAAAAGTAAATGAATGTATATGTGCAGAGATATTCATATGGTAAGTACAACGGTTTGACCGAATCCTTATCAATTAAATTGGGTAGACGGACCTGTTCGGGACCTGTCGGTAGTTAGTTTAGCATAACCATCGACCGGCCCCGAACAGGTCCGTCTACTCAATTTAGTCACGAAGTCACAAATCGTGCCCGAAGGTTTGAGTGTACAGGTCGTGTTAAAATTGTTGATCACGCCAGATGGCGCGTTCTCTGAAACTTTAACTAAAGTTCGCTCTGCATAGCTGCAATATAAGCAGGTCTTTTTATATGTTGAACTAACATAAATGTGTTTGAGCAGGCGTCTTCAATAGGGATTAGCGAACCAGCCGGGCTAGCTCGGAAACCCAGAATAGCAGGTCCTTATTGTTTGTAGTAAGCATTATCCACAAGGTAATAAAACACTGTCGTATTTAATGAATTCAAATGTTTTGTAGGAATGTGTTATACCAGAACATTACCTATTCTATTGTAATAGATTCTCCCACAGATATTAAATAGTAGTAGCAAGTTTGGGATTCAGTGGAGTTGAGCGAACAGTCAATGTCGGACATTGAAGTATCAACCATCACAACTAGATTGCTGCGTCATTAACTCTTATTTCAAGTTCCTAACGTTTTGTACGTCGGACCCTTTTTAGAACCGACTTAGCGAAATACAAGCCTCCACTGTGAAAACTACTCTACAACAGAATGTCATTTCGTATCTTTGCAGTTGTCCGGACTTTATTATATTTAGTCCTTAAAATATTATCATCAATTTTATGATGCAGGGTCTTCCATAAATTCCTTTCATTATTATTATGGTAAGTACATAACCCATTGTGCAAATTAATTGAAACAACCGCTTTAGTTTCCTTTCTTTCATCATATGGTCAGTTTTAGACCCACTGGAGTGACAGGGTGTAATTGATTTCTGTTCTTTCCTCAGATTAGGTCATTTGCAGTGGTGTGTAGCAATATGAATCTATTTTTGGAATGTATGATGAAATTTGATTCGCCTTGAAAAATATTGCGTCATCCGTGATTGCATCAGATTTTTATCCCGCCCAGACACTACTGTCTCGACTGTCGATTAGTTGTACTACGGCCATTGTCTACGATGGACGTTATTCCAAGGGAACGTACGAAAAGTGTAATTCTGTACGAACACACTGGTAAGGCTTATCAATAAGCAAATCAAAGTACTAACCATTGGGCCGGAAACCCTCCTGATTTAAATCCAATCGATAATCTGTGGTCAATCTGCAAAGAATGATTCGTGAAATGGACATACGCAGTACTAACATGTGCACTGAGTTATGTTTCATTGGAAAAATACGAAAATAATGTAGGTAATAACTGAATTATTCGGTTTGTTTCCATTAATTTGCACAATGTTGTATGTGCTGTGGCCAACTGGGTCTAAAAGTACTGGCTGCCAGGAGACAAAGGGTGCAAACCTAAAAGCTGCAATGCTATTATTTGATTTTCATAACGAATAAATAACATTTTCAAAATATACACGTGGAAAAAGGGTACAATTTTTGTGTAAAAATGCATATTTCTTAATAATTACAGTGTACTTATTACTGGTAGTTGATACCCAATGTAAATATAGAATCCGATGTAACCATAAGTTCTATGCTAACAGTTTCTTTTCTCGCTTGTGGAACTCTCTTACAGCTTCATGCTTTCAATCCAACTTTAATCTTCAAAAGTTTAAATTCAACATCGATCATTATCTATTGTCTTCTTGATTACTTTTTTCTGTTGTTACCTCTCCTTAGTAATGTTTAATGTTTATGTTTTCTAATTCTTCCACAAAAGGTAACCTCTTGTACCTTAGTGGCTTAACTGCCTAGTTTGATGTAAATACTATTAACAAAATTAACATGCAATGATATTTTGTATACTGTTCTCTTACGTTACTAAACCTGAGATTTGTTTCCTTAGATTAATATCCACTAACCGCGCTTTGTAATAAATGTAACTTATTGTAACTGGTTAACGTCTTCGTTAGAAAGAAGGCCACAATCGTTTTGCATTCTAGGTGTTCCTCATTTGTTACTTTTCTAATTACTGACCATGTTCGATATTGCTTAACTTCGATAGTAAGACGAAAACCGGTGCTTTAAGCAGGAGACCATAAAACGTATTCCCTAAATCTTTGCTTTAACAGTGGTTCATAAATATTTACACTATTTGTATATCTTAGGGGTTACCCATCCAAATATAGGCTTACGACCATATCACGTTGAAACACCCGTTCCTATGCGATCACCGATGTTAAGCAACGTCGAGCCTGGTGAGTACTTAGATGGATGACCGCTTGGGAATACCAGGTGCTTTTATGCTTGGATGTGCGGATGGTGTAAATTGATATTGGCTACGAATTCTTAATAAGAGAGTCGACTTCCAGTACCAGTTAGATTCATTATATTCACTCATACGCAAGTATCCTTGGGAAATGCGTAGATCCACCTCTTTCCCCAGCTATGGGTCAATTAGTAAAACTTATATCACTAAGACCATTATCATCTAAAAAAAAAAACTAAACTAAAATTTTGTACAAAATATTTAGATTTCGGCATTAAATAACCCATTGAGGTGTTGATATACCTCTAAACAAAATCAACCAACAAACTAACCATCCAAATATGAGGAGATCATAAAACGCATTCCATATATCTTTACTTTCTCAGAGGTCCCTAAAATATTTACTTAAGCGGTTACCCCTCCAAATATGCTTTAATTCTTTTAACGTGACTTGACCATTAGCTAACTATGTATTTCATTTGTTTTCTTTTTCCAATTCACAGGTCTATCATCATTACATAGCACCAACCACAATTGAAAGCCTGATTCTCAACGTATCGATGTCCCCAGATCAATGCCGAACCGAGCACTTGATCGATCTGTGTACATAACTGATCACACATTGTTCTCTTTTCCGGATTACTGCCGTTTTGGGTCGCTTCTCGATCGGCTTGTGCAGCCGTGAGGAAAACTAGACGCGACCATGTCTTCGACACTGATCTTTGCCCGAAACAACAACAATAACGCCGAGCAGAAAACCAGCTTGCTTCATGACTCTGACAATTTTGACACCGACCCATACGACCCAGACTGTTATTCGGATGAGGATGTTTTTGTCGACGAGACCGCCGGTGACAATGCGTCGGCCACGAAACCCCTGATGCATCCAAGAGATCGATCCATAGTGAAAACACGGCGGCCGTCATATCGTTGCCAATATTTGGTTCGTACTATTTGTTTAATTATCTGCTTCTGTTCCCTTGGTGCACTTATAGCTTCACTTATACACACGATTGCCTACATGAACGAACCGGCTCCAAAGACAGTCAAGGGACACCATTGTGGCCAGGTGCAGGCACAGGCGTCAACAAAACCGCACCGACCTCGTTCAGATTTGATCGGATGTTCTAAGATGTCCGTCGAAGATGTTTGGGTGGTAGGTGTGCCGAAACTGACCACAGAATCGTCAATACGATTGGTGGACGTAAACCAAGATGGAGAACTTGACGTCATACTGGGATTCGGAACAGGTAATCTGGATTGTTTTAAAAATTGTTTTCTTTTTTCGCTAATCTTTGCTTTTATTTAAATAGACAGACAGAAAGACGACAGGAAACGTAGCAGAATTAGGAAGAAAAATTGATAAATAATAATAATAATAATAGAAGAAGTTGCTTGGTCATTGCGGTAACAATCACAGTTGATGCAAATATTTCAGTCAAATTGTTCAACAAACTTCATCTTTTGACCCCTTGTGGTTAGTCAGAATTCCATTAACAACACCTTTCCTTACTCTTCGTTCCAGCATTGCTACCCCCAGATCCCCAATGTTCAGCACTGAGTCACGAGCTATGGTGTCTGGAAAAGTGAATTTTCGTGAGAAGACACTTCCAGAAAGATGCCATAGGAGTACGGATGATCGGTTTTATTTGAGCTTAAGAAAGATTGGTCTCAGTTTTCTGTAAATTGTGTTAAGCGTTGCTTGAGATCTCCAACTGATGATCTGCATTTTCTATTTGTATATTTTCCATCTAGCTGTCTTTCAAGACAAGCAGATATTATTCAAGTTTCTGATCCAAACAGTAGAACTGGTTCAATCAATGTTCTAAAGGTTTGGACTTTTAAGGAGGATGGAAGGTTCGGGTGTTAAATGTTGTGAAGTTTGTTATACGCATCCCAGCTTTACGGATGTTTTTTCGGAGTCTATTATATGAGATCCAAGATATTTGAAGTCTTCAACTCTTTTGATGGATGTATTATTGAGTGATTTCAACTCGGATGGTTTTGGGGAGTTTGCAATATAATCTTTCTTACGTTGCAAATAAGGTCCTACCTGGTTCACTGCTTGCTCACATGATTGCAGCAAGGATTCTATATCTTTGATACATTGAGAAATTAATGCAAGTTCATCAGAAAAGTCAAGGTCTTTCAGGTATCATGGAGGCTACCGACAACTTTCGTGAGGTTTCAAAAGGAGTCAATTTTACTCCATGATATCGAGCGAAATACGCAGAACATAGTCCAGAACATCTATAAACAGAGAAGGAGAAATTCTCGAATTTGAAATCCAGACGTAAGAACACAAATATCAGACAATCCCAGTAATTATTGGGGCATGAAGGACCATACAAAAATATGAAGAATTGTTTCTGAAATCCCCGGTGAACCGCGATTATCTCAAATGCAAAGATTACATTCATAGGTAATCCCCACATCCTCATGACTATTATAACTTTGTGTCAGGTTATGGGCCCATGCAACTGGAATTTGCATGCACATACTCATATATTCACAGAACCCTCAAAATTTGCATGAACATTCTATATATTCACTCAACCAAATATATTAGCATGCATATTATTATATATTTTCAGGCGCCTAAACATTTGCATGCACATTCTCATATATTCACAGCTTCTCCCATATTTGCATGCACTTTCTCATAACAGAATCCTAAACCTTTGCATATATATTCTCATATATTCACAGATCCCGATACATTTGCATACACATTCTCATTTATTCCCAAAACGCTAATCATTTGCATGCACATTCAAACAGTTTCATAGGATTCTAAACATTTGCAGGCACATTCTAATATATTCACACAAGTCTAGACATTTTCATTCACATACTCCTAGTTCAATAATACATTGAACATTTGCATGCACATTCTTATATAGCCACAGAACCCTAAATATTTTCATGCACATTATCTTATATATTCAGAGAACCCTTCACATATTCATGCATGACACCACAAATTTGCATGCACATTCTAATATATTCACTGAACCCTAAACATTTGCATGTACACTTTCATATATCGACAGGATCCTAAACATTTGCATGCACATTTTCATATATTCACTGAACTCTACACATTTGCATGCATTTTCTCATATATTCAGGTGACCCTCCATATTTGCATGCACATTCTCATATATATTTTACAGAACCCTAATCAATTGCATACACATTCTCATATATTCATAGGAGCCTACTCATTTGCATGCACATTATAATATTTTCCCAGAATCCTACACATTTGCATGTACATTCTTATATATTCACAGAATCGTAAACTTTTTCATGTACCTTTTCATATATTCATAGGTTACTACACATATATACACAGGACCCTACACATTTGCACGCACATTCTAATATATTCACAGAATCCTGAACATTTTCATGCATATTCTCATATCTTCACTGAACCCTAAACATTTGCATGAACATTCTCATATATTCACACACCCTTAAAAATTTGTATGTGCATTCTGATATATTCACAGAACACAACACATTTTGCCAATGATTTCTGTGACATATTTCGAAGACTCGTCTGTGAGCTTACAGAATTTTACACTTGTGATATAATTTTAGATTTTCAAACAATCTATTTACACATTTGAAGAATATATTTTATCTGTGAATACACATTTACATTTTAATTAAATTTTAATTTACTATACACAGATTCAGGTAGAGATCTGGAGGCAGTTCGTAAAATAAAGCACACTCAAAATATATTTTGCCTTTTATTTTTAGTGTGCTAATCTGGCCATGTTCTTTTTTTACGAGCATTTTCGAGTGAGAATCTTAACTTTTAGGGTTCCATATTATGAGGAGCGTGAGAATTGTCCCTAAATGTAAAATCTATTGTATTTTTTTCTTTTTATTTTATTTAATGAATTCCTTTGTGACCCTTCCGCTATATTGTAGTGCGGGGTGGGAGGTGATCTCCTCTATAAAGATTGTTTATTGTCACTGCATCGGCAGTTTGAACATTTTAGTCCTTGGTCGATATGCCACTCTGTGTTCGCGTTTTAATATGTAAGCTCTTTTTTTTAAAATTGCATTTTAAAACTATTTTTAATTTATTTAGTTTTTTTCCTTTTCTTTTTTTTAAATTTTATTTTTTATCTCTACTTTTTATTTCTTAATTTTTAATCTTTCTACATTTCAAGCGGAACCTAACTGAATTCTGCTTTTTATATAAGGATAGTGTATCTTTGTCGATATATATATATATATATATATATATATATATATATATATATAAAGTCATCCACAGACAGACTGTTTCACTGTATCACAGCTCATGAGTGTGGCTAGACTTACGATTGCTTCAAGCCGGGATCGAAACTCGACCGCTTTGACATTAGAATGCAGTATTAAATAAGATAAAACTAAATATAAGATAAAATACAATCACCCATCCATCAAAGAATAAAGAGATGAGACTAGAAATAAATATGACAGAGGATAAGCTAAAAAATGAAATGAATGAGATACAAAGTAATAATCTCTTAGGAAATAAAACTGAAGAATCTACCTGCCGTTATCCAGATTATGCCACTGAAGTTGAGTCAAACGACGTTCAGACAGAATTCCTCACAAAAACAACAGAGGTGAAATCACCGAAGCGAAAAGCCACATAATTCAAGTACTCAGCAGTGTAACTTGCACACAAATGTCAAACAGAGACTAACTCCTAAAAAATCATATGACAAAGTCGAAGAAACATATTATGTAAATATACAACGCTGCACTGGAAACACTGTTAACGGGCAAACCACTAGGGAACATCACAGAAGTAAATAATGTCTTATATGCAACAGCATTAGAAGCTATTGGGAAGCTTGGTGTGAAGACAATGAAAATATCAAACAACAGACAAAAAGATCCAGCTTGGAAGGCAAAACTGAAGCGAGAAATAAAGGAAATCAGATGTGAGTTATCGACACTAGATGAGATCTCAAGGAAACCAAATGTCTCAACACGCAAATACAGGGAGATCAAGCGGAGATATAAAATTAAATTGCATCATTGAAATTCTACCATCAAGGAGATGCTAAAACAGAAACTGTAGTTAAAGGCACAGAGAACAAGACGATATGAAAATCGTTGTAGGTTCTACGGCCAAAATAACATATTCCAAACTGACTTTAAGAAATTTTACTCGGAATTTGGAAGAGCAGTCATAGATGTCAAAATGCAGATTCTGTGATAAATATGCAGAAACAATTGATCGTCTTGTATCAGGTTGCATGGTATTAGTTCCCACTGAATATAAAATACGGCATGACAGAGTAGGGTAATATCTGCATTGGAAAATCTGCAACTTTTACGGAAAGAAAACTGCAAGAAATTGGTATGAACACCACTCAGACCCGAATACGGAGATAAGTCCTGTAAATTTATAATACACTTTACTTTACAATACGATACAATCGTAACTTTACAATACACACAGAGAAAATGACCAAATATAATCGCCTAGACATTGGGATCAGAGATCGCAAAAAGAAAACGTCCCTTCTTATTGATATGGCAGTCCTTGTAGACTACAATGTATCTTTGAAGATCTTCAAAAGATACATGGACCTTGAAATCGAAAATCTCGAAAATGTAGCACATGAGGACATCAACAATTCCAGTTGCAGTTGGAGCCCTCAGATTGATTGGGAAAGATTTTAATAGACTCATTGAAGGGATTCCTGGTAGTCCATGTCTTAAAGAAATACAAAATATTGTACTCACAAGTACTGCGAGCACGTTACAAAGGTGTAGACTGTTCTTTTGAAAAATATATGTAATCTTAGGTGTTTTTTTCCTCAAAAAATGCTTAGTGAAAAATGTCATGATGCCATTTCTGATCTTAGGTTTCTGTTTGGGACCCGGAAAGAAATGAGTATTCATCAGTAATAAAAGAAATTAAAATGTTAATAATAATAATAATAATAATAATAATAATAGAGTGAAGATTCTGTTGAGCTTCCACACTATCAGTATATGGTGTCTTTCTCTTTAAAATATCAGGTCTCATCAGGCCATATTGTCTGTGAACAGATTCTGTTTATTATCTGTGTATTGTCATTACTCCTTGAAAAAGACAGTGGAATGGTTCCCACGGTTTTGAATTCAAAGTTATTTTTCTTAAAGTCTGGTGGCAACTCAAGGTTAAGTCTATTCTACTATTTAATCTATAACTTAAAGGAGAAGAAATTGATTTCTTTCTTTCCCAAGGGCATCAATACAAAAGGGGTGCAACAAACGAGGCCAGGATTTGAACACTGCTCT